TACAACTCCCAAATGACAAAATCAACCCCCCCCTCCTCCCAACCCCACCAGTATTCAAATTTGGGCATATCGGATATTTGTGCCCAATTTGGTCCTGTAAATGAAAATACAACCTGAATATCTTATATTTACTTTACAATTTAGAACAGTAGCAAAATTACAGATATGAAGTAGCAACAAAAGTAATTTTACAGTTGCGGGTCTCCGCAACATGAGGAACTGTATTAAGGGATCCTGGCATTAGGAAGGATGAGAAACACTGTCCTAGACACTTGGAAGTGTAATCCAATATAAAAGCCAGCATAGTGATCTTGTTTGCTGTGTACTAATCTTGTTGTGTATCAAATAGTAATAATGACAACAACAACAACAACTTTATTTTTGTATCCTGCCACCATCTCCCCGAAGGGACACAAGATGCCTAAAAACAGCACATAAAATAAAGCACTATATAAAATACAATTGAATAAAGCATATAGGCATATAGAACAACAACTTAAGAGTCAATGTATTGTCGAAGGCTTTCATGGCCGGAATCACTGAGTTGTTGTAGGTTTTTTTGGTCTATATGGTCATGATCTAGAGGCATTCTCTCCTGACGTTTCGCCTGCATCTATGGCAAGCATCCTCAGAGGTAGTGAGGTGGGGAACCTCACTACCTCTGAGGATGCTTGCCATAGATGCAGGCGAAACGTCAGGAGAGAATGTCTCTAGACAATGGCCATATAGCCCGAGAAAACCTACAACAACCCAACTTAAGAGTCAATTAAAACAGTGCTCATCAACCAATGGCAGTAAGCTACTGTAAATGTGGCCAGACTGTAAACAATAGAACAAGGGGATGGGATAAGTAACCATGGGACGAGGGAATGCACTGAACAGGCTGCGCTCCGGCACCAGGAGATGCAGAGCCAATCCTCAGAAATGGGGCTACAAAGTGTAGTCCACGGCATGCGAGTGTGGAGAAGAGCAAACCACAGACCACCTACTATAATGCAACCTGAGCCCTGCCACATCCACCATGGAGGACTTTCTCACAGCAACACCAAAGGCACTCCAAGTGGCCAGCTTCTGGTCAAACGACGTGTACCATAATGCCAAGTTTTTTAACTTTGTGTTTTTAAATGCATTTTAATTGTACCCTCAACTCACTTCTGTCACGATAAATAAATGGGACGAAGTGCAAGGCTGCGTAACTATTGAGTAGGCTCCAGGCGTTCTCAAAAGCTTGTTTGAACATCCAGGTCTTCAGGTCCCTACGGAAGGAGGACACTGGTGAGGCCTGTCTAATCTCCCTGGTGAGGGTGTTCAAAAGGTGGAGAGCCTCGTCCTCACCAACCGTGCTTGTGAGGAGGAGGGCCTCCCCAGCAGATCTTAGAGCCCCCATTGGCTCATAGGAGGGGATGCAGTCACGATGATAGGCAGGACCCGAACCATTTAGGGTTTTGTAGGTAATAACCTGCACTTTGAATTGGGCCCAGAAACTTATCAGCAGCCAATGGAGCTGCTTTAGTAGGGGCACCGTGTGGTCCCTATAGCTGGCTCTGATTAGTAGCCTGGCCACTGATCTATGGACCAATTGCAGTTTTTGAGCCATCTTCAAAGGCAGCTCCACGTAGAGTGCATTGCAGTAGTCTAGATGTAACTAATGCATGGACCACTGTGGCCAAGTCGGGCTTTTCGAGGTACAGTTGCAGCTGGCACAGAAGCTTTAACTGTGCGAAGGCAGAGTTTCCTGCAAGTTTCCTGTTTCTTGGACTGGATGGCCCATGAGGCCTCTTCCAACTCTATTATTCTATGATTGCATGATTCTATGAAGGCCCTCCCGGCCACCACCCACACCTGAGCTTCAAGTGTCAGCACAGAGTCGAGGAGAACTCCCAAACTGTGGACCTGTGTGGCAACCTGTTGATCACAGGTTGCCACCCAATACCCCAATTGGCCTCGCAACGGACCAGGAGGACCTCTGTCTTGTCTGGATTAAGCTTCAGTTTTTTGGCTCTCATCCAGTCCATCGTGGCTGCCAGGCTGTGTTATTAGCCAATTTGAATCTCCTTTTCAGAGAGAAAAAGTAAGATACTACTACTACCACTAATTGTAATAATATGTTATCAGCTACTTTGGGACTTTATTTAGAAAGAAAAAAATGTGTGTTGTTGTTGTTGTTGTTGTTTATATCCACTTTTCTCACTAAAAAAGAGACCCAAAATTGCTAAAAACACTAAATATATTGTTGTTCTTATTATCTCATTGTTTTTAATTACATTTATATATATCCCACTTTTTAAAAATGAACACAGACGAACGCATACTAAAAAAAAAACAAACCCCGAACTGTTAACTATATTAAAACAATGCAAATCTACACTTTAAGAAGGATAAAAGAATTCTGAAAAGATAAAACAACCAACACTGCATTTTCAAGGGATGACTCTGGAGACCTGGGTTTGTATCCCTGCTTGGCTCTAAAACCCACTGAGTGGCTATGGGGCGAGTCACACTCTCTCAGATTCAGAGGAAGGCAATGGCAAACACATAATAATAATAATAATAATAATAATAATAATAATAATAATAATAATAATAATATAGCAATGGCAAACACCTTATACTAACAACAACAACAGTAACAACAACCAACTGTATTTATATTTCACCACCATCTCCCAAAAGGGATTCGGGGCGGCTTACAAAGCACATAGTAGTGCAAACAAAATACACAAAATACAGTAAAATACATATAACACATAATATGCCTTCCGTATAAGGGCAACCTTAAGACCGCTATAATGTGGAAATGAAGACAAATAACAAAGGCAGAGAAGGCTCAAGACCTTACAAAACTATCCCGTAGCATTGAGCCTTGGCAATCAAGGGGGCATCAAACTGCAGTCATTACACAGTGCAGAAGCAACTCTAATACATACTTAGAAATATCAATAAATACACTGAATCGGAGATTGCAAAGGATGCTCAAACCCTGCAATCTCATTTCTCTTCTCAAAGGCAAACATCCCAATACCAATGATTTCAAAAGAGGGCAGGTTAAAGGACCTGAGATACTAAGAAAACTTCAGCTGATAGAGTTTCTTAGGAAATGCAAGCATTTAGACCCCTCTCCAATTAATTTGGAGAGAAAAGCACAATTCGGAAGTCAATCGGGTACAAAGGTGGAAAGGGCTACTTATCAGACCTCCAATTCACTGCATCTCCTCTTTTTGAAATCCTCAAAGTATAAAGGATATTAATTATTTCAACCCGTAAGGTTGAAGTTGCATCCACCTCAAAGCAAGTTGTTGAGGAAAGCAGAAAGCAAAATAGGACAGGAGTGTATATCGAACAATGTAATATATTTTCTCCACCTTATTTATTATACCAGAATGACAGATCATAAACAAATGTGAGCTTTGATTTATACAACTAGCTGTGGTTAACCCTTGGAACTCACTGCCACAAGGTGTGGAGAGGCCTTTGAAAGTGGGAAGCATTGAGATGGATTCATACATTGGTGTCTTATTTTCATTGCAATGGTGGGCAGCCACACACAAAAACTCTTCCAAAGATGAAACAACATCATTCAAGAACGTATGCTGCAGTTGAATTGCCATGTGTCAATGGTATAGAATCTTTAGTTTTATAGCTTTGCCACGTCTGTAACTGTCTCTGTCCAAGAGACAACACCCAGGATCCCATAGCACTGAGCCATGACAGAGAAAACAGTTTCAAACTGCAGTCATCCTGCTGTGCAGACGCATCCCTTGTGGCAGGGAGTTCCATAGGACCTCCTCTATGGATTCTCCTTATCCTGGGACCCTTCCCCTTCCTCCATTCTGCTTTTGGAGTCCATACCCCCCCCACAAGGAGACAAAACCCACCCCATCTTTTTTAGAGACACTCCCCACCCCAGTCCCCAAATTTATAACTGTAAACAGGCAATGCAAAGGCAGGAAAGAACCCGGTATCCAAACCTTTCCTTTCTTTCCCCTTTGCGTACAGCCATTCCTGCCCCCTTGGCAACCTTTGTGGCAACCTTTGAGCCTTTCTTTGGGATGAGCTAAAGAAAAGCCCAGTCTCCAAACATTCCCATCCCTTTTTACACGCAGCCAACTCTGCTCCTTGTGGCGAGGAGTTGCAAAGGCTCCCCCCTTGGCCTTCTCCAGGGACCTATTCCCTTTCCTCTAGTAGCCTCTTGGGGTCCACAATCCCCCCCCCCTTTTAGGGCACCCTGCCTTTGAAGCCTTCTTTGGGATGAGCCCAGTCTCCAAAGCTTTCCTTTTAGGCACAGCCAACTCTGCTCCTTGTGGCAAGGAGTTGCAAAGGCTCCCCCTTGGCCTTCTCCTGGGACCTTTTGCCTTTCCTCCAGTGGCCTCTTGGGGTCCACAATCCCCCCTTTTAGGGCACCCTGCCATTCATCATCCCTCCTTTTCGGGCACTTTACAATTCATAACCCCTTATTTAGGAAGAGCTGGGGAAGAGCCCAGTCTCCAAAGCTTCCCTTTCCTTTTAGGCACAGCCAACTCTGCTTCTTGGGGCGAGGAGTTGTAACGGCTCCCTGGCCTTCTCCTGGGACCCTTCTCCTTTCCTCCAGTGGCCTCTTGGGGTCCACAACCCCTCAATTTAGGGCACCCTGCTTTTGAACCCCTCTTTGGGAAGAGCCGAGGAAGAGCCCGGTCTCCAAACCTTCCCTTCCCTTTTGAACGCAGCCAACTCTGCTCCTTGTGGCGAGGAGTTGCAAAGGCTCCCCCCTTGGCCTTCTCCAGGGACCTATTCCCTTTCCTCTAGTAGCCTCTTGGGGTCCACAATCCCCCCCCCCTTTTAGGGCACCCTGCCTTTGAACCCTACTTTGGGAAGAGTTTTAGAGGAGCCCGCCCTGCCTCCCAGCCTTGTTGGCCTGTTGTCGCACAGCCCGCTCTCCTTGCCGAGGCTCCCCGGGCGGCCCTGGTTCCTCGGGGTGCCTTGGGGGCCCCTTTCCCCTCCCCCGGGGGGCCCCTGGTACTCACAGGGCGGCGGTGTTGGCGGGGAAGGGCGCCCCCGAAGGCGGGAAGCGGGGCCAGCCCTTGTTGGCGCAGTCCAGGGCGCAGGCGAGGGCGAGGGCGCTGGCGGCGGGGAGGCTCCTGCAGCTGCAGTCCGGGGGACAGGGCTGGCAGCCCCCGCCGCCGCCTCCTCCTCCGCCGCCTCCTCCTCTTCCTCCCCGGGGCCCTCCGGCTCCGACGGGGCCCGGGGCCAGCCCCCCTCCCAGCAGGCAGCACAGGAGGCACCAGCCCGGGCATGGCTTCAGCGCGGGCATGGCATGGCCCCCTCCCGGGCCCTTCAGTCCCAGCCCCGCACCCACATGGCCGCGCCTGCTTTGCGCGACTCCGTCTTCTCGTTTCTGCCTGGGCGCTCTGGACGCTTCGCTCCGGCCTCTCTGCTCCTTCCTTCCTTCCTCCCTTCCTCTTCTCTCCTCTCCTCTCCTCTCCTCTCCTCTTCCCCCCCCCCCTCCTTTCCCCTTTCTTCCTCCTCTTTTTTCTTTCTTTTTTGGGACGTCCTCAAGTCTTCCTCTACAGTTCCATTTTGGCAGGAAGCATTAGCATTGAACGGTGTTGTTAAAGCATCTACAAGGGTTGAGTGGAAAGTAATGCCTCCACCTCCCTAACTCCTCAACAGATGGCAGTACTGGTATGCTGCAAGTACTGGCTTGTTCAGTAGACTCTCCTCTACAGTTGCATCTTCCGGCATGCTGAATCAGGTGTCAAACAGGGATGTGTTATTGCCCCAACCTTATTTTCCATCTTCATTGCTATGATCCTTCATCATGTTGATGGGAAGCTTCCCACGGGAGTGGAAATTATCTGTCAGACAGATGGCAAGCTGTTTAACCTCAGCAAACTGAAAGCCAAAACCAAGGTCACAACAACATCTGTTATAGAACTCCGGTATGCTGATGACAACGTCGTCTGTGCGCATTCAGAAGAAGACCTACAAGCCATTCTAAACACCTTCGCAGAAGCATACAACAAGCTTGGCCTGTCATTGAAAAGCAAGAAAACCAAAGTGCTCTTTCAGCAGTTCCCAGCCAGTCCCTCTCCAATGCCAGAAATACAGCTTAATGGTGTAACATTAGAAAATGTTGACCATTTCCACTACCTTGGCAGCCACCTCTCCACAAAAGTCAACACTGATACAGAAATACAACACTGCCTGAGCTCTGAGAGTGCAGCATTTTTCCAAATGAAGCACAGAGTGTTTGAGGACCAGGACATCCGTAGGGATACCTAGGTGCTTGTTTATAAAGCTATAGCCCTCCCAACCCTACTGTATACTTGCGAGATGTGGACTATCTATAGACATCACAAGCAACTCCTAGAACAATTCCATCAGTGTTGCCTCCGAAAAAGGCTGGCCCTTGAGCGCTTCAGCTGGAGGTCAGCTGTGACCAGCAGTGCTGTAGAATTTGAAGTGGCACGAATGGAGGGTGAAAGAGAGAAACATGTCAAGAGGAAGGCGCGTCAAGCCAACCCCACCAGGACTGCCTTCCACCTGGAAAGCAATGCCCTCACTGCGGGAGAACATGCAGATCAAGAATAGGGCTCCACAGCCACCTATGGACCCACCTCCAGTACACCAATCTTGGAAGACAATCCTACTCGGACAATGAGGGATCATCTAAGTAAGTAAGTACTGGTATGTGGCAGGTACTGGCTTGTTCAGTAGACTCTCCTCTACAGTTCCATTTTGGCTGGAAGCCTTAGCATTGAATGGTTGTGTTGTTAAATTGTGAAGCATGGAACCCTGTGCAGACGGTCAGTCAATGCGACTTAAGCAATGTGCAGTCATTGAATTCTTGACAGCAGAAGGTGTCACCCCAAAGGAGATTCATCAGAGAATGCAAGCTGTTTATGGTGATTGTGTTGATGTGAGTTCTGTGCGTCAGTGGGTGAGTAAGTTTAAAGATGTTGAGGTGGGAACATCTGACTTGCATGACAAAGAGTTGGACATCCTGTGACAGCAACCACCGAGTTTCATAAGCAAAAGGTTGACAGATTGATTTAGGACGATCATCCTCTTGGCATGTTTCTCTCTTTCACCCTCCATCCGTGCCTCTTCCAGTTCTACAGCACTGCTGGTCACAGTTGACCTCCAGCTGAAGCGCTCAAGGGTCAGGATTTTTCGGAGGCAACGCTGATGGAATCGTTCTAGGAGTTGCTTGTGACGTCTATAGATAGTCCACGTCTTGCAGGCGTATAGCAGGGTTGGGAGGACAATAACTTTATAAACAAGCACCTTGGTCTCCCTACGGATGTCCTGGTCCTCAAACACTCTGTGCTTCATTTGGAAAAATGCTGTACTCGCAGAAGCATATGAGAAATTTCAAGCATTTCACAGGAACGTATGGGTCACATCATTGCTTTGCTTGGCTATCGGAAGATCTGTGCACGATGGGTACCCAGGATGCTAATGCCTGAAATGAAAGCGCACAGACTTGAAACTTCAGAGACTGGATCTCACCACCGTATGACATCCTCCTTACAGTCCAGATTTAGCACCGTCTGACTTCCATCTGTTCCCGATAATGAAAGAAGATCTGCAGGGACATCATTATGCTTCTGATGAATACTTTGAGAGAACTGTGTGACGCTGCTTGCGGAAACAGTGTCGACTTCTTCTGTGACTGCTTCAGAAAACTTGTTCATCATTGGCAGAAATGTATCCAATTGTCTGGTGATTATGTGGAAAAGTAGTAGTTAAAGAGCACATTCAAAGGATTATTCCTGTGTTCGATTAAGATATTCCCATCCAAACCCAAGTAACGAAGGTGGAGGCATTACTTTTCATTCAACCCTCAGAGAATAATAAGAGCTGGAAGAGACCACACGGACCATCTAGTCCAACCGCCTTCTTCCATGCAAGCAAAGCACCCCCGACAGATGGCCATCCAGCCTCTGTTTAAAAAAGTGTTTCTCAACCTTCCTAATGCTGGGATCCCTTAATACAGTTCCTCATGTTGTGGTGACCCCCAACCTTATTTTCCCATCTTCATTGCTATGAACATCTTGTTGACAGGAAGCTGAGTGGAAATAATCTATCAGACAGGTGGCAAGCTATTTAACCTCAGCACTCTGCAAGCCAAAACCAAGGTCACAACAACATCTGTTATAGAACTCCAATATGCTGATGACAATGTCATCTGTACACACTCAGAAGAAGACCTACAAACCACTCTAAACAACTTCACAGAAGCATACGAGAAGCTCGGCCTCTCATTGAACATTGAGAAAACCAAAGTACTCTTCCAGCAGGCACCAACTAATCCCTCTCCAATGTCAGAAATACAGCTTAATGGTGTAACATTAGGAAATGCTGCCATTTCCCCTACCTTGGCAGCCACCTCTCCACAAAAGTCAACATTGACACTGAAATACAACACCACTTGAGCTCTGCGAGTGCAACATTCTTCCGAATTTGATTGGACTTAATGTCAGGGGAAAACCGTTGCAGACTCAGACTTGGTTGTGTTAATATTTTAAGGGCCAATATTTTTAGTGTATTTTATTGCTTTTTAAATGTATTTTTATTGCAGTTGGCCTGTTGATGTTAATTGTTGTGCTCTAACTGTTTCTTTGTCGGCATCTAATGACTGCAAATTGTAAGCTGTCCTGAATCCCCTTTCAAGGGTTGAGAAGGATGGGATACAAATGCTCTGAATAAGTAAATAATAAATACCTTAACCTTAATCTTGGTATGAATAATATTAGTAATAATAATTGTGCGGTTTTCTGGCATTGTATATTTTTGCCGCTTCTGTGACTGTTCATTTTTATTTTGATTCTGTAGCTCACTTGTTGATGGATGTCCAGAATCAGCAGCATCCACCATAGTCCTTTTCATCCCGGACATCGGCCGAGCCAGTATAGACTTAATTTTGGTTTGTTTCTCCATAGTGCTAATGGGTTGGGTGCTCTTAGTTCCACTTCTCAGCTGAGACCTCTCTGGCTTGGTTGGACCTGCTGGTAGTTACACTACTGCCAAGCCATCAGAACAAATGCCATTAAGGCTAGGATCGAAAATTCAGCTGATGACCCAAAATGCAGACTGTGCAAGGAAGCTGAGGAAACCATGGACCATCTCCTCAGCTGTTGCAAGAAAATCACACAGATGGACTACAAACAGAGGCAGAACTCTGTGGCCCAGATGATTCACTGGAACTTATGTCACAAGTACCTCCTGCCAGCAGTCAAGAATTGGTGGGATCATAAACCTGCAAAGGTAGTGGAAAATGAACATGCAAAAATACTGTGGGACTTTCAAATCCAGACTGACAAGGTTTTGGAACACAATACACCAGACATCACAATTTAGGAAAAGAAAAAAAAGTTTGGATTATTGATGTCGCCATACCGGGTGACAATCACATTGAGGAAAAACAACAGGAAAAAAACTCAGCTGGTATCAAGACCTCAAAATTGAACTGCAAAGGCTCTGGCGTAAACCAGTACAAGTGGTCCCAGTGGTAATGGGCACACTGGGTTCCGTGCCAAAAGATCTCAGCCGGGATTTGGAAACAATAAACATTGACAAAATCATGATCTGTCAACTGTAAAAGGCCACCTGACTTGGATTTGCGCGCATCATTCGAAAATACATCACAGTCCTAGAAGTGCTGGTACAGCTGTACCAGGAGCTCCAACTTCTTTTCCTTTCTATTGAGTGTTTGCATGTATTCCAAAGTTCCATGCATTTTGCAATAAGGTGGCTTCCCTTGGTTTGCAATAATAGGGCCAATTACCCATCAATTATCATTATGTTCTTTAGTTCCGCCCCTTTTTCTGGGTTAAGGAGGGAAAAAGGGGACCTCTAGTTCAGTTCACACAGAGAAGCCTTTCGTACAGGACGTGAATCAGTTCCACCTGTAGAAAGCTTCGTCTTTTACAGCTTTGCTGGGGGGAACCAGTCCCACAGCTCTACAGATAACTACAGCATAGCCTTTGTTGGGGAATTTAGTTCCACAACTCTACAGTCAGCCTTCACTGAGAACTGAAAGACTTCTTTTCTCTTGGAAATCTACTAAAGGACTCTGTTTGGTAAGGACCACTCACAGCAGCCATAATGCAATTTGGACCAGGTGTAGGGGCCCACGCCAGCAGAGCTTAAGTTAGTCTGCCTAGGGAGGGGTCAAGGATTTCCCTTGTAGAAGGAAGAAACAATTTATGAAGAAAGTTGCCTGTCCCTTGTGGACAAGATTTAAGCAAGCCACTAGTTGATTCAAAGCCTTGAAATATTTGTTTGATCTATTAAAGATTTAAGCAA